CTTGCCTCTCAGAACTTTTAGGCAAACGTCCATTAAGGGAAAAGATAAGGCAACCCTAAGCTACTTCTCTCTTGTCAATGAAGCCCAAGTCAAAGCCAGGCTTGTGTGTCTTTCACCAGGATTTTATGAATTGGTGCAGATGAGCTACGATTTAGTCTCTCATGTTCTGTCACATGGGTTTATAGCAACTCAGCCATGATTTCCTTTTCTGCTGCAGCCTTAGCTAACAGCTCCGCCCACTAGCCAAAGCTCTAGTTTTGATGTTGAGGGAGGTCAGAAAGTGGTTTGCATGGCATGGTGATGGGCCAGTGAACTTTTATAAAGATGGCAGGATTTGCTGTTTTGGAAACAGGATGTTCTTTCAGGCCAACCATATTTGCTGTCCAATAGGTCCAACCTTTCAATTTCACAACAGTACAAAAGCTGCCGCACAGTCCAGATCGCTGAATAGGGATGGACGTGTTCTTTCCTTTTATTCATGCAGTTTATGAACCATCATGTTTTCCAGGCAAACCAAAAGGCCATGGCCATTCCTACAGGACATTATTTAGAAGGTCTTTTGCAGACTCAGTTCCTTGGCAATTTACTACATTTCTCATTTCAAGACACGCTAGAGGAATAGGCTACAAACCCCACTCTGTGTGGAGAGATGTCGTAAAAGCTTTCAGTAGCTGGAATGGGATTTTGTGTGTGTCCTTCACGAAATCTACAACATGGCAACCCCTCAGAAATAACAGCAAAATTAAAAAGTCAAATGGCAAGACAGTTCAAGCACAAGTCTCATCTAGGAATGTCTAGTCTTCAAAACACGCCATTGGGCGCAAAACAATCTCTCACCCAGCAGGTGCAGTTAGATAGAGCTGGCATGGTGAAGACCTAAGCCAACATCCTACTAAATGTTTTACCCTCCTGCCAGGCAATTACAAGTTGCAGATGGCAGCATGGTACCCCCATTTACAGAGGATTAGAAATCCAAGAGATGGACACTGAAACCTTCTGGCTCCCCAGAGACTGGTTTAAATTGGAAGAGACTGCTCCGATTGTCTTTTGCTTCCATCAGCGCTCAAATGGCCCAAGACTCAGAACAGGAGATGGGGAAGAGATGGTTTTAGCTCTGTGTTTGCTTAGAGGATCGGCAGTTCAGTTAAGATAATCATTAATCATTTTAATTTTGCTTAATCCCACTTGGCTTTATTCCCTCTCCTGAGGAGGACAGCCCCCTCAGTTGCCAGAATTATCTACTTCTGTGGACTTGTGGGGGGAGGGATAACTCAGTAGTTTGAGCATTAGCCTGCTAAATATAGGGTTGTGAGTTCAATCCTTCAGGGGGCCACTTAGGGAACTAGGGTAAAAATCTGTCTGAGGATTGGTCCTGCCTTGAGCAGGGGGTTGGACTAGATACCTCCTGAGGTCCCTTCCAACCCTGAGATTCTATTTTCATTTACACTAACTGAGCAGTGGTATCAAAGATGACACAAAGTACAGGACAATGGAGAATCAGGCACCAAATAATTTATATACTCTGCTTCCTGGCATCTACTTTCAGTTCATCAGGCACCATCAGCCCACCCTGAAAGAGTTGCCAGGTGATTGGAAACATGGTCTTCACACAATGCACTAAAGAAAGCAACTCAACGGAAGGAAAAACCTTGATTTATCCAGATGGACAAAAAGAGGCAGCACAGAGCTAAGTTCACTGAGCTGTGCAAGAACCTCCAGACTCCATGACCACAACACACAACACACAACCTAGGTCATGAGCTAAACTGTAACATTGGGCATACACCTCACGTGCTTTTGTTCCAAAGCATGGGCTTCTGCTCAACAAGCTACAGGCACAACCAGATGTGAAACTCATGAACACTCCAGCCAGTAGAGGGCAGAGTTGTGCACAGGACGGCTTCTCATATTATTCCAACATATCCTCTAAGGGCTGACTCATATAGTGCTTGTTCTGTTTTCACACAGTGCTTTCTCAGGAGAAACTTCCATTGTTCTGAAGGGGAGTTTTGGCCGAGTAAGGGCCAGACTGACCCATTTACTCTCGTTGAGTAGTATCGGTTGAAGCCACTGACTGATTCTTGGTGTAACTGAATGTGAGTAAAGGTATCAGAAGTTACAGCTAGTTAAAAGAACCCACAAAGACATTTTTCCCCTTAATTTTTGAAATTTTCACATTTAAATTATTTCAGTCATCTCTCATCAAAAAACAAGAGAATGCATTTTTACAAACATTTCATCCCATTTTTCCCCCCAATATTTTTTTAAATCGAAAATTGTTGCCATAATTTTGAAATTCTAATTTCCATCAATGCTATCAAAAACTACCCCAAGAATGGACTGTGTAAGGATTACACGATCTGGCTCTAAAAAAGTAAGAACTCCAGGAAGACGAGATGGGACAAAGTGGAGGAACAGTGAAAAATGACACCATCTCTCAGGAACAAAGATGAAACAAGTTTATAGGGGGCCTACAAACACACGCACCCAGAGCAGAGACGATAGGGGATTACCCACATAGAACGCACCTTCTGCCTTTCAAGAATCACAAGGAAGGGGAAGAGCAACATCTCTGTGTATTTCAGAGTGGAGGTAGATTAAACAGTGAAGAGCTCAGATTGCATGGCAGTTGATGGGAAGGAAGGGAGCAGGGAGCCAGCTGGAAACAAGAGGAAAACTTTTGGACACGAGATTGAAGAGAAACCTGAATGGTCTCAATGCTGCAGATCATTTTTCGACAAATAAGACATCACAGAGCAAACATCAGGGAGGAGTGCAAGCTGGCACAGATAAAAAGGAGGACAACTGTCCCCCCTTGGAGCTGTCCTAGAATTGAACTCTAGACAAGCTTATTTTTCTTTTTGTGGTTCTGAAGCCCTTAGGTATTTCCCCCCCTTGCATCCAGTATCTGACCCGAACTAGACATGGTGACAGAGCAAGGAAGGATAGTCTTGCAGTGCTAGTGGTGGCCACCAGAAACGCCAGAGAAGAACGAGCTTTTTCACCAGATTATCAACCCAATTTGTACGGGCTCAAATTCAGCCCCTCATTGCAGTTGGGCCCCAAAGCTGAATTTGGCCCATAATCCAACTGCGATATCTCCAAAGTTGATCACCACGCTCAATTTTGGAGGCTCCTTCTCCTCTTCCCCTTTGCAAGATACCATAGGCTCCATCCAAAGCGCACCTTCCACTGACTTCATTTGTTATTGTATCGGGCCCCATAGACTCCACCATCAGTTCTCTGCAACTCTTGCTTTCAGCACAGGTAGGATTTGAATCGGATTCAACAACAATACAGTATGATTCACTTTAAAACCAGACAAATTCCATTTTTGATGTTCTTAATTCCTACATGCAATTCTGTTCATGCATATGAACACTCAAAGGAAAAAAAAATTACTTCTCATTACATACCATTTGTGTTGGAAATGATCAAGACTAGATTTCCCTCCCCATCTCCATGTCATTTTTGGTCATGTTTAGCAACTGACAGCAGGTTCTGGTCATTAAATCCAGTGACAAATTGACATTTATTTATTATACACGTTGTCTTTACAAATAAATTAATTTCATCGCTCTTGTTAATTACTTGAACTTTGCTAAATGATTTCCAAACACGTTATTGATCTCGAGCTGTCTTCAGCAAACACGAGTAAATAATGAATCACCCCAGTAAGGAAACGTTGCTAAGTAATTTCTTTCTTTGAGTGATACAGTCACAAGGGTCGAGCGTCCACTTGGTAGGTTTTAAGCACAACACACGTCCATTGGGGATTGGAGGGGGGCAGATTGAAAGGATCCATGCAAGGGTTGGAAAGCCAGAGCCAGCTTACTTAATGCATATCTCTCTTGAATTGGGATTACACATCGACAGCTCGGCTGAATGGGATGCTAAATAACTCAAGTGTGCACATGCTGACGGCTGACTGGCAATAACTTCCGCTTCCTCCAATTCCCTCCAGGGACTATGCCAGCATCTATGGCTAAGATGCAAGCAGTGAGCGTTTCAGACTGACCCAGATTTCTGCAATGTTGGCCTGCTCTCAGCGCCAGACGTTCACTCAGTCCATCTGTTTTTCCTTGCAAGATTACTTAATTTCTGCATAGTATTTATTTAAAAAAAAAAAAACCCACAACCAAACCGATTCACCCTTTGGAGACCTGACATTTCAATAGCTGCCATTCGGTGGAAAATTGCTAAGAATATTTGGACTTATTCTAACCACACAAAACAAAAACAAACATCAAAAATAAATATTGTCACCTTCCAACATTTGCCTCATTTATACCTGAAATGGGGAGTACAGTTCCTTCAGAGCCCGGGGGGGGGGCACCCTCTTGGTCACCACAATCCCCATCCCAAGTTCTGATCTGAAGCCCAGCAAAGTCAATGGGAGTCTTTCCACGGGCTTGGTCAGGCTTTGGATTGGGTCTTAACCTGAGAGGTGGTGCAAAGGCAGGTACAGGACACTTGAGGTGGAGTCAAGATACCAGCTGCTCTTCTCAGGGTCCCCCCACCAGACTCCATCAAGATAGGAGCTTTGGGAATGCCTTCTTAAGCCCTGAGAGGAGCAGTGGATTCAGTAGTCCATCTCTGGTGGTATGGATATGTCTCTGAGGGTACGTCTTCACTTACCGGAGGGTCCGGCGGCAGGCAATCGATGTTCTGGGATCGATTTAT